AACAAAACACTTAATTATTTACAGAATTAATATATTGCATGAAGTATAAATTTTGAATTATAATGGTCAGTCTGGTGTCCACAGTCAAAATGACTTGTCTGGTATATTTAGTAWTMATWAWTWATAATTCAATGMATTATTCGTTGCGAATAGTAAACAGATGTGTGGTTTCATATASGAAAAGAGTTGGTTCAAAGTGGCAGATTATTCACAATATCGCATGATATCTTTCAGTTAAATTTTATTATGCATGTCTCGATCATGCTAAAATATTCGTGCGAATTTCTTATCTACGTTTATATATATATATATATAATTTTTTTTTCTTCGATAATCTATAAATAAGCGAGTATGTAAGTGTGAAATTATTAGGGCTAGTATTTAATATATAAACAATAAAACAAATAAATATTTATTTCTAGTTATGTCTATATTAATTTAATAGTCTAATAAACCTTAAATATATGTTTGTGTGTAAAACATTTCAAAATCTTTTTATTACAAGAAAGTATCGATATATCAAAAATGAAATAAACAATTATTATTCTTTTTAATCACATTTATATTCATTCAAATGTTTAATAATCTTTAAAATATATATACAATAACTTTCTATATGCCAGGATTTTTAATCTTTGCATTACAACAAGCAAATAATAACWATTYCGAATTTATATATTAATTGATARAAATACATTGCAGTGTGATTCACTTTAATATTTAAAATTAATATCGATATATATCTATATATATAGATATATGTACATAGAAGAAGTGATATGAATCAGAACAATTGCATGATGATATCAAAACTATATTAAATCATAAAAAACATTCTGATATTTCCACTTTTTATTATTATATTTTGATAACATTCTCAACTTGATAACATCCTTAGAATTTCTATTAACAAAAGAAAGAAAATTCAATCAAAGAACAACAAATGTATTCTTTCTTATATTTTTCTTCCTTTATATCTTTTCTTCTTTCCTTTTTTTATTATTCCTTGAACGATAAGTACACACACACACACAAAGAGTTTTTTATATGCAGTAACATAACATTWCCAGTTAGCCATGTGTGTGTGGGAAGTAGAACCACCTACAAAGTCAAGTTTCAGTGTTCCAATTTGATCTATAATATTATATTTTTATTAAGTGTATAATAAATAATTATTAATTATTTTTTCTTCATTATTATTATTATTATTATTATTATTATTATTATTATTATTATTATTATTTTTATTATTATTATTATTACTGTTATTTATTGTTGATATTATGATTTAAAACTTACTTATTATATCATTGCATTGTTCGTGTATTATTCGTTGTTAAATTCTTTTCAAAGTTCGATGATCCTTTCTTGATTCAAATTTACATAGGCATCTAGCTGATTGATAAGATATATAAAATCATTAGAGTTAGTTAAATAAATAAATAATATTACTGTGTTAATGTCAGTATTAATACTGACATAATGTTAATTCAGTAAAATACTCAAAATTCTGACTATTATAATTAATTGTTAATCAAGTTAAATAAAACTACCGGTGATKGTTTTCAATTGAAGATCAATTATTCGATTTTTCGTATTTGGTATGCAATTTTCTTTTGATTGTTCGTGAGATATTCCTCGTCCTTTAGTTGGATTATTTGTTAAGGATGTTGTTCCCTATAATTATAAATAAAAATAATTTGATACTTGTTTTTATATATATATATATATATATAATTTCATTAATATTTATTATAATTATTTGTTTATAATTTTTATACAAACCTTTTTCTTATCCCTAATATTAAAAACACCATAAACAATAGGATTCATGCAAGAATTTGTACAAGCGAATAAAAATAATCCTTTTTGTACTCTTTGATCAACTTTCCTTGCTGAMGTTTTGTCAATCCAATACCTGTGAATAAAAAAAAATATTTATTATGACACATTATTACAATCATACACACACACACACACAAACACACAACGTCATTCGTATAACACACACATTACCAAATGGCATTATTAATAATAATCGCAGTTAAAACAAAAAGTAACGAAAGAAGAAGAAAAAGAAAAAGTATAATAATAGTTGAATATTTAATTGAAATAAAAACAAATTACCATAAACTCATGACGTAGTACGGAGTCCAGCAGATAAAAAAAACTGTAACTATGATTATGGTCATTTTCAATGTGCGTATTTTAGCACGGCTTAAAAATTCCAAGGACGAACGGCGTATCCTGTCTGCAATATAATCCTTTTCGTTTTGTTTTTTTGTTTTTAATTATATTATCATTTATTTTTTCCATAAGGGCCGCCTATTTTGAAAATTGCCTACCTCTATTTATGTTCGAATCGAGATATTAAATTGTTTGCGTTTCAATGCAAATAAAACTAGAGATATTATCAAGTCATACTGCTAAAGTGTATCCTATGGTGTTAAATGTATAGCTTCTATTAGAATAATGGCAATTATTAAGTGAATAATATGCGTTTTTATACCACAAATGTAGTTCGGCCACATTCAAAATAAACGGCACAATTATTAATCTAACTAATTAAATGAATTTATTCATACCTTCGTCACTTTCCTTCGAACGTTTACAAATTTCGAATATTATACTTGTATAAGTATAAATAATTACTATTAATGGAAACCAATACATCATAATCATTCCAAATAACGAATAGGTAAGCTCGTGAGCGTCTGTTGGAAATGCGTTGAACGTAATGCATTGTGAATACCATGTAATATTTGGATGGGTTTCCAAATGAAATATCATCATCTGTTACAAATACAGTTATAAAAGTGATTTATATTTTACCAAATAATCTTAACAGTATGACGATATTTGATTGTATTTCGTTTCTATTCATTTTATTTAACCAGTAAACTGTGATTG